AAAGTCGCCAGTTCTCATCTTCCAGCTCCCCAGATACTCCGCGTACTAAAGTTGCACTAGAAAGTCGCCAGTTCTCATCTTCCAGCTCCCCAGATACTCCGCGTACTAAGTTGTACTACAAAGTCACCAGTTCTCATCTTCCAGCTCCCCAGATACGCGCGCGCATGGGACTCATCGCCCTGTCGCCTGCATTTCGCGCACTCGATACGGACGATCTGCGCAGAGGGTTGCGCCGGACAAAACCAAATCGCACTCTCGCCTGCATTTCGCGCACTCGGCACGCACGATCTCCGCAGAAGGTTGTCCCGGACCGGGACAAATCGCACTCTCGCCTACATTTCGCGCACTCGACACGCACGATCCCCGCAGAGGGTTGTCCCGGACCGGGACAAATCGCACTCTCGCCTGCATTTCGCGCCCTCGACACGCACGATCTCCGCAGAGGGTTGCGCCGGACAAAACCAAATCGCAGTCTCGCCTGCATTTCGCACACTTGACACGCACGATCTCCGCAGAGGGTTGCGACGGACAGAGACAAATCGCACTCTCGCCTGCATTTCGCGCACTCGACACGCACGATCTCCGCAGAGGGTTGCGTTTCGTGGCGGTCCGGCGGCACTGCCCCCGGCCTTAAGAGAGAAAGTTAAGAAGAGCGAGAGGTGAAGATGTGAGCTGTAGATGTGAGGATGTGAAGATGAGCAGAGATGTAGATGTGCAGATGTGAAGATGAGCAGAGATGTAGATGTGTCAAGATGAAGATGAGGCGAGATGAGCACAGATGTAGATGTGTGAAGATGATGAAGATGAGCAGAGATGCAATGTGTGAAGATGATGAAGATGAGCAGAGATGTACATGTGCAGATGTGAAGATGAGCAGAGATATAGGTGAGAATGTGGATGTGCAGAGGTGAAGATGTGAAGGTGTAGATGATACGTAGTTCTGCAGATGTTCTTGACGACGAACCCTTCGCAGACGCTCTCGGGAAAAAAACGGTTATGGAAAACGAGTAAATTGTATACCATGTTTTTCCCCAACAAACAACATACAACTATCCCCGCAACAGACCCCAAACAGTGTTGAGAGGTCTAGAGGTCTAGAGGTGTAGAAACAGTCTAGAGATCCCAAAGGTCTTGAGATCCAGCAGAGGCCTAGAGGTCTAGAAGGATCTAAAGGCCTAGACATCCAGACAGGTCTAAAGGTCTTCAGGTCTTGAGATGTGGACATATGAAGCCTCTACGTTTTTAGAGACCTAGAGGTCTAAGAGGCCTAAATCATGTATTATAAGTCGTATCATCATTACAGTAAATTTAATATCAGAAACCCATTGTAAATTTAATGCTGAGTTTTGTTCTATTCTTTGGTAACCCATTACTTTACTTTAAATACGGGGTTGCCTGATGAAGGAAAATTTAAATACATATATATATATATAATGTTTTGTTTAATCATAGTATTCCATACACTTTTATATATCAAGAATTCCCTGACAAAAACGTATGAATGGAAAAGTATTATAGATTATGAATTTAATCAGTAACTGTGCATTGAATATCATTGAATAACATAACAGCAACAAATAACGTTCATAATCCCTCTTCGTGTTCCAGGTTTATTGGCGCCGCCGTGTCTGACTGCGCCCCTTCACCGCTGTCATTCACCTTCCAGTCCTTTCCAGCAGTTACCAATGATTTCCTCTTCCAAGATCCAATAGTTTCATAAAGAGGCAATCAAAGAATCAAATAAGAGTAACCGCTGGGATAGAACTTGAAGGAGCACCATCATCATATCTTATGTTGAAAGAAATGTAAAGAATCAAATATGATGATCCCTCCTGCAACCTCTGCATTTGTTGTTTCTATCTTATATTTTTCTCGAAATAGTAACTTACCCAAAAATATGGATGAAGTAGGAAGACCATCAATAAAAACATGAATAGTGATCATAATTTCTTTTGACGTTGGAGGTGAACAGGCGGGCAAAAATACTATAAAGAAGTGAAGCGAAAAAATGCAAGTAGGATGTCACCTTCATTATTGTTGCATCTTATTGGTTTTTCATTAAATAACGACCACAAATATAAAATAAAGGTGATGTAGGATGGAGAGCTATTCATGTTGGATGCGAAAAAATCGTAAGTCCCAGAATTGATAGCCGTGCAGAGGTCTAAAGATCTAGAAGTCTAGAGATCCAGTGGTATCTTGAGATGCAGAGGTCTTGAGATAGGTCTCTGGGTCAGTAGGTCTAGACCCCTAACTCAGGTCTCAAGGTCGGGAGGTCTAGAATGTGAGAGGTGCAAAGGTCTAGAAACTTGAGATCCTATATTTTAGAGAGGTCTACAGTATATAGAGGTCTAGAGGCCTAGGGACGCAGAGGCCTAGAGGTCTTGGATTTGAATGCCTAGAGGGTGTAGAGTTGGAGGGATGTGGAATCCAGAATTTTGTATTCGTCTAGCTCTAGTAGAGATCTAGAGGTCTAAAGGTCTTGAGATCCAAAAAGATCTAGAGGTCCAGAGAGGTGGAGATCTAGAGATCTTGGAGCTGCAGATCTAGAGGCCTAAAACCTACACATCTCAAGGTCTCGAGGTCTGCAGGTCTAGGGATGCAGAGGTCTAGAGGTCTTGGGATCCAGGTCCAGCCAAATCTAGAGGGCTAGAGTTCTAGAAAGATCTAAAGGCCGAGATTGAGGTCTAGCGGTGTAGAGATCTAGAGGTCTAGAAGTGCAGAAGTCTTAGATCCAAAGAAGTCTTGAGATTGAGAGATCTATATAGAGGTCTTGAGATCTAGAAATATCAAGAGCTCTGGGTCTGAGGCCTGAAATCTAGAGGTCTCAACGTCGTCTAGAGTTCTAGTATAGAGGTCTAGAGAAATGTCTAGAGATCTGGAGGCCTGGGGGTCTGGAGAGCACACACACATGAGAGCATACATATGGGAGCATATTTGCTGCGCCTGCCACGGAATCTGCACTTCCATGTTTACTAGGTGGGAGGTTTCTTATTGTGATGTGCACGTTCTTTTACTATATTTTACGTGCTATTCTTCCAACTGCAACCTGTTCTCTTCTTTTAGATAAATACCTATCTGGCCGCAAGCATGTTTTGAACGTGCATGTGCCAAACAAAACATCAACAACTCACTAGCTCACACAAGCCAGTGCAGTTGACGCAAGAGACGCAAGCCTGTATTCCTTTCAAGGGAACCCTCAGCGTCTTCAGCTTGGCCTGACTTTCCGAACATCAGGAAGATCATCCGGGTGAGATGCTGCGAGGTCGTAGATATGCCCCGCTTCTCGAATCTTCAAGGACACCAGGTCGGAGCGGCGCGAGGAATTCAACCTGGAAGTGGCCAGGTGTGCCCAAAATGGGCTCCAAAGATACTCAATCTGGCAACTCAGCCCATGACACTCCACCGCCTCTCCATGGATCTGAAAGTCCATAGGTAAAAATAATGTGGCTGCTTTGCTGAATCTTCGACCTTCAGAATGACTGCAAGCTGCCATCTAAGGTTGTCAGTGTTCGGAATTCAGAATGCCTTTGAGGACTGAAGGGTGAGTGAAGCAAATCTAGCTTTTTACTCACAAGCCAAGAGGAATGTATTCAGCCCGTGAAAAGGGAGGGTCGCTTGACCATTTGACAAACCAACTGCAATCCAAGGAACAACCATGGCCCAAACCAGAAAGTCTCTGGTGTGATGTTCCAAGTCTGCTTGCAATATTGGGACAGCTGACGTGGGCCCCATTCTTTGGCAGGAAACATGTCTGTGACATTGTTTGTTGAAGTGTAGTAAACAATTTGTCGACAGGCTTCAACGTCCCACGAGCGGCCCCACGCAGAATGCAGATTGCCACAACCAGTTTGATCTGCACAATCCCGGTATTCTTCCGTAATGTTGTGGCAAATGACACCTCCTGCTTCAGGCGCAGTGTAGAGATTTGGAACGCATCAACCAATAAATGGAATCATTGTTTCCTCGTTTCCTCAAGTCGGCTCCAAAAAGGATTCAATCATGTTCAATCTGTGTCCAGAGTGTTGCTTCGTATGTCAAATTTCTGAAAGCATTTGGAGAAAAGGAGCACCAACCACGATCATTTTTGACCCGGATGGAGCGCCTGTAGCATTGTAGTAGGAACCCACAGCTTTGGCCAAAAACTCCAGTGCATTGAGGCCCTTCTGCTCACAAGCAGACTTCAAAGGCCACGCTTTGAGGCCCTGACCGAACAGATTTGTCGCATAGGGGTAGTTCCCCATGGCCACCTACACAGGGTTGGACAGAGAAGTCTGGCCAAAGCATTGGGGAAGGTGAAAACAAGTCAAGTATCGTAATTAGGTTGGAGGAACCTGGAAGGTTGTGAACCACTTGTGCAACTGCTCAATGCGTAAGTCAAGGCTCTGTGACAAATGCATTCCGCGCCCACAGGATTAGCTCATCCAAACGGACATCATCGTTGCAAAGGCTGAAGGCCGCCCGCAAGTGCTGTCTGCTCCTTGACAAGCAGGCAAAGGATGGAAGGAATGCAGGAGAAGAAACCACACATCCCAACTCTCAGCAAAGGCAAATACATAGGCACACCTGCATGTGGCTGCCCCATCAATCTATTTATCTGCTCATGCAATCAACATATTTTACACATCTATTTTGCAGTTCAATATCACTGTATAATTGATTATAATTACATTGACTACACAAATTGCTCGCAGTCCCCAAACTGACACCCTTCGGTGGGATTTGGCCCCTTGCTCACCACTGCAGGTGATAAGTTGCCGACCACATCACAATCAATTTGATTCTTTTGATCTCTCTCGTGGCCCAACTGCATGATCTTCATTGCTGCTTGGTGCTCTTGCGCAGTTTGATTGACACAACTCGGAGATATATAAAGCACATGTTTAAAAATATGTTTAAATATATGTATATAGTTCTTTTAGAGAAAATGACTATATAAAAAATATGAAACAAAAACTCGGTGCGCTGCACTGTACTCGCCGCATCTCGTCGGCCGCCAGGTGTCTGAGACGTCGCGGCTGCGAAGCCACGGCGCACTCGCTGTGCGCAGCCAGGGCTCACCGCCTCCGCCGCATCGGTGACCATGCGGAAGAAGGAGCCGCCCACGCGGTCGAAGTGGACAGGGGCTGAGGAAGCCACCTGAAGACAAAACCGAATTCATCTTTTGGTGTTGTCTTAATCAATCTTAATCATAATAATATAATAGATCATAATATCATCATGATAACCTATCCTCTCTTCGTCGTAGTTTCATCATTTTCATCTCTATCTTCATGCTCATGCATGCTCATAGATTTTCCCTTGCGCTCTGTTTGGATCCTAATCTTCTATCACTGCTTCTTTGCGTCGAATTTCTATCATGGATTTCCAGCAATCTCGAATCCGGCATCGTTGCTGAATCGCCGGATCGGACTTGCAACGGTCAAAGCGGAAATCCGCCAGTGTCCATTCCATCCAAGGAGCTGCAGCAAAGATGAGCTCAGGATACCTTTGTCAGAAGCAAGTGCTTTACTTTCATTCACTTTTTTCATTTCGATGCCATGATTCAGCCGTAGAGTCGCATCAGATCGGATCCATCATCATCTTGCTCATGAACATGCCTCTGATGCACCCAAGTTGCTTGGCTCGCATCCAGCTGCTTAACATCCCTCCATATGAGCCTCCGAACGCCACCACGGGGCGCTGAGCACGAAGAGACTCCGGGACCAGGAACCTTTGACAAGATTGAAGCGACAAGACTTCCGGAAGCATCACACCATCCGACACGGCGCTCCGTCCCAGAGGCCCAGGCACCGAATGAGTTGCGCGTAGTCTTCAAGTGCCTGTTCGACGTTGAGGTACTGAACCTGCAAGCGGCCAAAATCCTCAGGTCGACGCACGCGCTCTTTCCCACGTCTTCGAGCTTTGTTCGGAGAAGGGCAAACCGGAAGTGCAAGGGACAAGGCGTGATCTGGATGTGACCAGTACATGACATCAGGTCAATGGAACAAGCTGGCTAGTCTAGCACAGACTGTTACCTCTCATGCTTTCAGTGCTTTAGAAAATGCAGCCAACCAAGTTTTAGGGCCGTCAGCGGACACGGCCACACATCTGGCAGCACCCTGCAGCGGTACCGACACCCAAGCTCCAAAGTGCACACAGGCACCTCTTCATATCCTTCTTGCTGCTAGTAGCGATGCCAGGAGCCCCGTTCGTAGCGTCCTTGCTCCTCGTAGCGATGCCCTTTGCTCCTAGTAGCGTCCTTGTTCCTACTTGAAGTAAGAACCCCAATGTAGCTCTGGCAATCTGGGGAAAAACATCCCAAAAGGACGACAAACTGTGTGGAGTGGGCTAGGGGCCACTGAGGGAGGTCTAACAATTGCCTCACAATCGCCGATTCCGACTTTGGTTTTAAAAAAGTCTGCAGAAATCAACGTCATTCTTGAGTTCTTCTTGCTTATTATGCAAATACTTTGGACATTCTATTGTTCTGAAGCTTCTTTGGTTCTTAAACTATGTAAAACAGGATTGCATATATAACACTATATAACTATTAACATATATTAACATGGTTCTCAATCGCGCACCAATCGCCGATCAATCGCGATGCAGCATGGTTCAATCGCGGAGGATAAGAGATATAGATCCTTTCATGATTGGCCCTCATATGTGTCCCCTGAATGCGTTCGCTCGCCCGAGCTGGTCAGGGTTGTTCTTCTACGCTGGTCCATTCGCCCTGAGTTGAGAAGACTCTTACAAGTTCCGCTGTGAACAAAGTGCAACCGAGTGCAATCCAGCTTCTGGGCCGAAGGGGAGGCTTTGCCCGTAGAAGCGATGCTCGGCAAAGACCAACTGAGCGCCCAAGGCCGTCGCAGCTTCTCTAAGGAAGCCGCTGAAGTTGGCAAAGACCTGCAACGAAGCACTTCCGCACTTCAGGCAAGACCTCAATTCATGTTTAAATAAAAAGAAAAACGTTTCAGCATTGAGTCGAACAAATACCAAGAGCATCTGCACAATTAATGGCCCATGTTGCTGCTTCATGTATGCCGATCAGCCACACTCAGTTTACTTCAAAGAAGCGCGGGCCTCGATGTCGCCCTCGTTGCCGCAGAAAAACAGCACCGGCCCATCAGCGCGAGCCTTCGACATTTTTCCGCAGCAAATGAGACAACGAGATCTAGAGGTGTTCGACTTGTCTCTGGTACCTGGTTTGAGCACCTTATGTGTGAAGATACGACCGTAGGCTTGATCTCACAGATAGCCACTGAATGATGGATCGCTCCAGGAAGACTCTTTCCGAGATGAGAAAGGCTTCGTGTCAGGATGTCTCAAGCCAAAATACATTACAAGGCAGTAAGGTCGGAACACCATCTGTGATTGCCCTCACCATTTATGTACACCTCCATGACCTGGCCCGGTCAAACAGTCCTTGCGCCTGGTCATCATCCAGGAGATAGCGCCTCAAGGATGTCGGAGATGCTGCGGCTGAAAAATGCGCAACTTCTTTGGGACGAATGGATGTAAAGGAGCCGCAATGATGGAAGCGAATCCAAACACATGTGCGCCTCCAACGGGATACCACGAGGACTGGCTGGACAACAAAGGGAGTATTTCGATTGCAACTGATTCAATCCGTGTGGCTGCGAGAAGGTTCCAATGTCGCTACCTCAGCAAGGGGTTCAAGTGCTATCAAATGCTCAAAATAAGGGCAGTGTCAGTGTCAACTGGGCAGCAGTCGCAACCTGTTTTGAGAAGAGGTGCTGTGGTCGATTTGCTGTTCAAACCAGAGGGTCTTCCAGGAAGCCGCTCCGAGCAAACATGTGGCGAACGACTTTAGAAGCCTCATGTCTCGTAAAGTGAGTAGTCCGTTGTCGTCGAGTTGTGTGGGAGTGGGAGTGGTTCTGGAATTGAAGCCCGCTAAAGCCCTCTCTTCATTCATGATTACCAACTAGTAACTAGTACATAGATGCAGAAACAATATATATGTAAATGTCATGATGTATCATGCAACATGTGTTTCTGACTTTGATGCTTGCAAGTCAGTGAACCTGATCAGGACTTTCTCTAAAGCTGCAACGTCCAGCTCTATAAGGTGCTAAGATATGCGATACGCTGCCAAAAAAATGCATTGAACAGCGTGTTGGTTGAGTGCATCGATTTTTTGTCAGAGGCCCCTTAACAAAACCCGAAATGGACTGTAAAATGAAAACAATGATTTTTGAAAAACGCGGAGCCTTCAGGCTACCGTGGTTTCTTCAGAGTTTGGAACTTTCAGCACTGTCTGAAGCGACCCTCCTGGAAGACCTCCTTCGCTTTTTGAGAAAAAGTCTCCAGGTCCTGGCGCAATGGAAGTACATGTCAATCAAGACAGGAAAAAACAAAAAACCGCCTACATAAAGATCATACAAAAATTAAAAACAGATTTGGAAGAATTTGGTCCTTCCGCAACTCAGCCATCTCACTTTCTGTTTCCTTTGCGGTTGCCTCATTCACTGAATGCGTTTGGTTTCAGGTCCAGACCCAGTTGCTGAGTTCATAGGTTTCGATGGGTTCAACCTCACTCTAACAGAGACCAACCTAGATATAAAGCCCAGACTTCGCCCGAGGGGACTTCGTTGCTCCGGTGAGCTATCAAAAAAATGAATCTTATGGAGAGCCCATATTTGGTAGAGACCCGCTTGGCGTGTGCTTCGAGGGGAACGAATCGTCTCCAATTTTTTGGTTTCCCTTACCAGGCCTTACCAGTGGTCATGATAGCCCTCTGGCTGGGTCACTGGTGACAGAGATCTTCACATTCACTGTGGTAAGAGCTATCCACAATAAAATGTAGGTGATCGAGGTTGCTGTACCTGCGCCGACAAACTCCTGCGAGGGCCAAGCACGAGCGGCACGTGTGGAGGGCACAAGCAAGGGCTGCAACTGTCGCTACCAGGTGCCCCAAATCTGTGGGGCAAATGCTGTGCCTAGTAGCATCCGGAGGCGCTGCGTGGGTGGCCAACAGAGTTGTCAATCTGCTGAGAGGGGGCCAGTATCTCACCTTTCTATTGGCCGACAAACAACTCACTTAAACAAATTCTCTCTGTGGCTTGGGAAGATTGGCAGTCCTCAAGGAACCAGGACTGTACGGCCAACAAAGTAGCATCCTCATGAATGTAGCTGAGAGTGCACCTTCAAGCCTTTCCAGCCTGGACGGAAAGGAGAATTGACTATTTGGCAGTAGTTTAGCGGAAGCGGCCGAGGGCTCCTGTTCTTCTTAGTGGAAGTGGCTTGCCAAAGACCGAGATGCCTGACACGTTTGCCTGGCCCCGTCGCCTTGGTTCGCTCCAACCACTCCGTCGTCAATTTAAGCGAGCCTGGGTTCAGCTGCCCAAAGCTTGACCAGTTTGTACAAGGCCAGGCCACGCCCAAAAGTTGCCGCGGTGGAGTCGAAAGCAATAAGCAAGTCTAGCGCCGCAAGTACCATCAAAGGGATCAGTGGAGCCTTCTGGTTGGGCGGCGGCGCAGGCGCGGGCGGCCTCCTTGCAACGCAAGCTCTCTGCCACGCTGGGTCGGCCCTTCCCCTCTGCGCGCATGAAAACAGTGGAGAAGAACCAAGCAGTGGAGATCCAGTAAAGTTTGCCCGCGTAGCCAAGTTCTGCCGCGCTGCTGCAACACGGCGCTAGGAAATCAAGAGCGTTTTTTTCGTCATCTACCAAAAGGCTACAATAGCACCGTCCGGTTGCAGAGGAGCCAATGGTACTGCGCAGCTTGCGTGGCAGAGCCGCCGATTTTGAAAGCTGCTCGATTTCCTCGTCGCTGAAGACGTCTGTTCCACTGTCCATCCAAGCGACAGCAAAAAGAACAAAAGAAAGCAAAACAAGTCAAGCCAAAATTAACTTAACCAGCTTCTCCTGGTCACACAATCAAATGCTGGGGCAGAACCCCTCAAAATGCTCCCTCTCAACTGAACCCAAACTATCCCAAACTCAGGTGAAAACCCAACCCGGTCAACTAGAACCACTCAAAGGGAGGGAAACCAGCCTTCCCAGGCAACCCCCCCCACTTGAACGCTAAGAGATCACCTTACTTTCCGAAGGCAATTCTCACTGTGTATATATATAATTATATGATTTTATATATGTATTGTATATATATATATATATCAGCATCATGCAGCAACGCCGTGAGCCTCGGCTTTCACTGCCACCTCTTTGGCCTTAACGGCTTCTGACATGGCGGCAGCGGCTTGTGTCTCCTACCGAAACAAGCCCTCTCTCTGCACAGGCTGCGTGCTGGATGCGATGCAGTGAACACTTTCTACCATGCATAAAACAGACTCTTAGATTCTCCCAACATGTAGAAAAATGCCCGGCTGCAACAAGCAACACTGGACCTGTGAAACGTTGGCGCGTCGACCCCAGTCAGTGAGTCACGTCTTCCCAACAAGCAACAGCCACAGCATAACGGCAAGAAAAACGCAAGAAAAACGGACAATGATAGTGGTGTTTGGCAAAACAGTGTTTGGACAGAACAAACAGCCTTCCTCAAACGTGTCAAAAAGCCTTTCTCATGTCTTGTCCTTCGTGTGGAGCTCCACCTCAACGGTTTGGAGTACTTCCTGGTTGTGTGATCCACCAAGCTGCGGCACTTTGGAATTTCTCTGCTAAAGAGGAGGGATGCTACAAGACAATGTCAAGCCCTGTCAAATTCTCACCAATTCGGACCCTGTCTGTCAGCCCTTTAATGACTTCTTACATCGTGTTGCCATCATGCGGCACTTCCCTGTCCTCGCACTTGTGGTGCATGTCTTCCAGCTTGACCATTCCCTCTGACAAAGCGTCACGAGCAATACCAAGGAGCCGCACCTGACTTCTTTGTGGCGGCAAAGGCCGGCGGTCTTTCGTCTTCCGTGACCCGCGTCGAGTCCCGACCACCCGGAAATCGCTTGCCTGGTGCGGATGAAGCCTCGGAGGACGACGGCGAAGATCTGCAAAGTGGTGTTTTGCCCCGCCGAAAGGACCTCCTTTCCCTTTGAATCTCTCTTTTATAGAGCATCTCATTGTGGGGAGGGTCCAGTGCCAATGCCACTGTTCAGTGGCGCTCTTGCAGACTAGGTACCCAGTTGCATCTGGAACAGAGAGGCAATGGTGCAAGCTATCCTTGCAAGAGATGCCAAAAGACATGGTCAGGCAACGAGGCTCCGGTGCTTTTCTGTTGAGATCTAAATCCAGACAAGTGTCGATCAGCATTTGTCGAACTGACATGGGACAATCCAGTTTCAAGATCTCCTGCGAGGAACGCTGGATTTGACAATTTGGCCCACAGTGGTCAAGGCCTCTCTTCTCAGCAGCAATGCAACGACAACTATACGAGTAGCTAATACAACATCAAGTACGTCAAAACTAGGCAGTCTCTGTGGGTCATATATGACTGTTGCGCAATCCCAAATGTCAAACTCCACTTTTGCTCCGCGCCCTGTTAGCACAGGCCGTGCTTTCACCGGAAACCGACTTTGGGTTTCAATAAGGGTCTCATTGCTGGGCCGCCCCCAACGAGGCCACGGATGCTGCGACATAATCAGGCACCCAGTTGCCCTGTGCTCTGTGCAACTCTGCCCGGGAGGTTACACCAGAAAGAACCAACAACGTCTGCATACCTGACGTCAAGTGCTTGGTGCATGACTGGTTGTTTTCAAGTCTAGGCATCCCTGTGCTCACCAAAGACGCTCTAAAACTAAATGACTGCACTGTCTCTCAGCCTGCATTGTTTCCAAACGCTATGTCTGTATCGAGTCCTAAGTATGACGTGGCAAGGAACAAGCTGCACGTTGATTGCGCATGGTGATTGGGAAGGCTGGGCCCAAATCAGCCCAAACGTGTTCAACCACGTTACATTCCGTCACAAAACAAAATATTCTGCAAATTTAGCAACAAGTATCTATCACCAACCATCACCATCTTCCGCGCTGGAATATCCAAGGAGTGCTCGATCAATTTTGCAAATTCCAGGCTTGGCTTGCCTTTCATGGCAAGGCACAGACCACTATCGTTCGATAGATAGGCATATAGGCTAGATTTGCCTATGATCCCTGGCAAAATAGTTTAGATCAACCGTGTTTTCAACTCTGCTCCGAGGTGAAAGGCACGTGTGCCACTGTAACATTGGGCACTTGCCACCATTATCTGCGTCTATTTTGTGGCAAACTCAATTGTCCATCGTCCATGAGGATATAAATCACTTCCTTGTCCATGTTGGCGTCGATTGATTTTTCTAACTCACCTTTGACAATTTGCATGGACGTCATTGCACCCGACATGGCTACCCATTGAAAGGACACAAGACACAGCTTCAAAGCAAACCATGAACAGCTGTGTTCTTTTTCAGACTTTTGAGTGACCTGACCTTCATTATCACCAGCTATCATAAGTCACAGGCTCTTGCCAGGGAACGACATGCGTGGCTCTAAGCTTTTCTCCCCAGTGCCCAGGGCCGTGTTCAAAAGAACGTGTACAAAATCACCGGTCTTTTTTTATCTTATGGTAAACATCAAGGCCGGCACACTTGTTTCCACCCTCGGGTCGAGGAGACTAACCGATGACAACGTTCTGCAAAACATGATGTGTTCTTCACACGCTAAATGACATTGTCCAACGCCCCCCTTCCCTATGTTAATGGCCTGGCCCTGCGATGACAACATTGTGAAAACCATGACAATGCTGTGAAACAACGACAATGTTGTGAAGCAGATCACAATGTTGTGAACATGAGGACAATGTTGTGAAACCGATGACAATGTTGCTATGTCGATGATGATGCTGTGTTATCGGTGAGAAATGTTGTGTTTTGATTTGGATTATAACCCTCCGGAAACACCGGGTGAGTCAATCCGTGGGCACCTTTATATATTGTAATAAGCCCTTCAGTATAAGGACATCCTCCAAAACGCTGGCAAACACTCCGGCAAAAGTGCTGGATAAGTGACCGGTCAAGTGTTCAGATCGAGTTTTTTGGATGGCAAAAGCTTTGGACAAGTCTCCGGTCAGAAGCACCAACTACAAAAAAAAGGTGGGCAAAAGCATTGGACAAGTCTCCGGTCAGAAGCACCAACTACAAAAAAAGGTGGGCAAAAGCATTGGACAAGTCTCTGGTCAGAATCACCAACTACAAAGAAAAATAAAATCACACTAAATATAAATACACTAAATCACTAAAGGCTGTTGTTTTGTCTGCTCTTGTTGATGCAATCTCGGCTCCTGCAGTTGCATCTGCTAATGGCGGCCGACGCCCTGCCGCAGCGGCCACAGCCGCAAGCACGGAGCCCGCACCAGGCCATTGGTGTTTTCCAGGACCAAGCTGACCAAAAAGGTCCTCAGCGAAAAAACGCGTAGCTCAGCTGGAGCTCAAGAGGATTCAAGGTGTCCGAAAGCAGGCTACCAAACTTTGATAGCCTGCAATGCGTGGTTTCACCCAGGAAAGGCACACGGTGTCAAATCCAATCCGAGGCGATGCCGAGGCGATGCAAACGGAGTCACATCATTGGATGCAAAGAGGGGGACGCCGTTCCGGACGAGGCTAGAGGCCAATGCCAGCTTGTAGTAGTTTAGGTGCTGATCCAAGCCTTGCTCAAAAAGTAACTTCAAGCAAGGCATGTCGGCGTGTAGGATCTAAGAGCCTTGAGGCCTTGAGCCGTTGCGATTTGTGAACTGAGAAAACGAAACTGAGGAATAGACCACACACCACTGCTCCAAAGCCTCAACTTGAGCGGGGAAACACGAAAGGTAGAGACGGACCGAGTAGCTGTCGGGACCTTTTCTGGTGAGGGACTGTCTCCGGTGTTTCAGGAACGTGCCCCTTGGTCAATCATGGATGAAACCAACAAAGCCAGAGAGCACAAGAAGGCATAAGAAGGCTCAAGAGGAACTCCGTTGCGGTCAGATTGCGCCACACGGCTCTGCAGAGAGGCTGCGTTGCGTCGACGCTCGTTTGTGTCTAGGTGTGTGAAAACAGGCGTGCGTAAAAGTCGCAATGCGTAACCGCTCGCATGTGTACCAGCTATGGTCCCACAGCTGCACGCACTGTGTCAGGATTACAGGCCTGCACGCGTTGCGTCGAAGCCGCAGTGACTCAGTGACCAACCCCCTTGTAAGGATAGTGCTGGAGGGGTGCGGCCGGCACTGCCAGGGATGGACGTCACGCTATGGTGGGTGTGCTCCACGATGCGGCAAGATTTCGCCACGCTAGGGTATAAGGCTGAGTCGAATGGTGTTCCGCGACGCGAGGGGTTTCTCCACAGGGCTTTGCAGAGAGGCTGTGTTGCATCGATGCTCGTTGGTGTCGAGCAATATGGTCTGTGAACGCAGTACGCGCTGTGTCAGGCTGCCGGGTGCGCACGCGCGGCATCGAAGCTGCATTGCGCGACCTCATTGCGCAGGGTTCGTGCTGTATTGCGCAACCTCATGGCCAGCGTCGTACTGCTGTGACTGTTAAGCGCATGACTTCACCTTATGTCCAGAATTTAGTAGTGCTGGCGACGAGGGGAGGGGACGGGGAGGGGAGTGGAGGGGGGAGGGGGGGGTGGGGGTGTTAGACATTGATCTACCAATCTTTAGTCCCGAGCAAGCTCTCAAGCCAGTCCCTTTGCTTCGCAAAGCAAACTCAAGGTAGTCCTTACCAGGCTACCTTTCGTGATTTGGCACAAAACCCACGAAAAACAGCTTTCGCAGGTGACCTTTGGGACCTTGCAGCACGCTTTCTCGCACGATTCTTCCAAGGCGCTGCTTGGATCGATGCGCCTGAGATTCGCTGAGCTCAAGCTGCTCAAGCTTTTAAAGGTAGAAAGAGATAGCTTCTTGTTACTAGTAGTAGCACGGCCAGGAGCCCCTAGTAGCGTCCTTGCTCCTAGTAGCGATGCCAGGAGCCCCTAGTAGAATCTTGTCAGCTTCTTGTTGCTAGTTGCAATGGCCTCCAACCTACTTGCGATGGCCTCCACCTAATAGCGTCTTTGCTAAGCAAATATGCAATGATGTCGTGCCTTGAGTCATATGAGCGAAGCAATATGTCAAAAGCGAAGCTGAGCCAAGTGTCTCCAAGGCAGTCGGAATGTCTTTCAAGCTCTTGCCTGCTCAGGGAGTTTATCAAATTGACTCCGAATTGACCCTATGCTTCCCAGGCTTGGTCCAAACCTGCGTCGTCAGGTCCACCCTGCGTGCGATAGCCAAGTGCCTGGACTTCATCTCGAAGACCAGCCTCTCAGGAGACTCGAAAAAGTGTTAAACTTTTGTCTTTCTACAAACATGCCCAGGACTTGCGGTTCCCCCCCGGGTATTTTTTGGGGGGGCTCAATTTCCATGTATATAAAGTTATATATATATATATGCAAAAGGAACTTTGGGGCATGCGAATAGCATTGCAACCCCCAAACTACCCTAATAATACCAAGTTGATTGGTGCAGGGGCGAACCATGCATGCTGGTACTAAAAACACAATACGTGACATGAGCACAGAGAAAGTTTCAAGAAAAGACAGGTACATCATCAAGACACCATTTTTCACCTGACTTCTATCCAAACAGATCAAGTCTTGGACGTCCTAGACGATCACTCACATCTCCAACCAACGCCAGTCTGACATGACTCGCCCAGCTTCCGACACCTCGCCCACAATGTAAATAGATCGATCTTTGGAAATGCCACGTGCTTCCTGAAAGCCGGTCAACAGGATTTACCTCTGAAGGAATGAACAAATAGACATGGTATTGGAGAGGTCAGCGAGGATAAGCTGGAATCAATGGCTATTGATGGCTATTCTATTCCTGCAAAGTTGGCCTGTCAAAAACAGTTCAGGTGAGATGATGTTGGCACTCAAAGATGGCTCCCCTTTCACTCTTTCACCTTCTGGAATCGAAACCAACAACTTAGCCAATGCGTAAATGCATGGGTTCCAAGCATCCAAAAGTCGGGCGACTGCATTGGCACTGTTGAAGACGTCGCTCTCCATAACCCAGTCCAATCCAAGGGATTTCAATCGAGATGCAACCTGGAAGAGTTCTTTCTATTGAACATGTCAATATTTGCGAGTTCCCATGTGAACTGGACAAGAACATCAAAAACACTGAAAGGCTCGTTCGTTCAAGGCCTCGGATCGAGTTCGCATCGCATTGTTGGTGGCGAAAATCACAGATTTTCCATGTCCACGCAAATCTTCCAAAGTCTCTTGCACACCCTCAACCTTGCAGGCGAAAGGTCTGGGGCAGAAACTGACATGTTTGGGACTTGGAACTTCAATTGTTTTTTGATGTGCTGCTTGATAAACATGTCTGCAGTTTTGATGTCTAGACTACGTGGCATGAACCAGCAAAGGTTAATTTGCGCACTTGCATGATGACCATGGCCATGTTTGCTGCATGCAGAATCCACAACCAGCTATGCTTCGTCCTGAAAAGAAACGGGATTCTGGCTGTGGCTATTTTTTGAACTTTGAACATTGCTTTCCAGGTCGACCAAAGAGATATGACCAGGATTCCGGATATGACGAGTTTTGCGGAAAACATGTCAGAATATGGGAATCATTAGGTTAAGTTCAGATCACTTGGGAGTTCAGGCTCCAAGTCCTAGGTGGCTAAACATTGGCCAGCTATAGGTTGCACATGAGATCGACCAGAAAGAAACACCGTCTGACTGTCCGACAGCACAAAAAATGACAGTTCCCCATCTGCCAGTAACGTTTCATCTTCGGATTATATAGTTCATTTTAGTTCTGCATGACTGAGCAATCTTGTGATGCTTTGCATGATCTCGCTTTTGTTGATTTTTGCCTTATGACATGGGATTTATGCACCCCAGACATAAAGCGGTCAAGACAAATGATGTGGGAATATGTGAGATCTGATGTGTTTCTTCCCACACAATCAGGCTGAGTAAGGTCAAAGTTTCTATACAGTGAGCGACTGGTATCACAAGAGTCAAAATAGTGTCCTTCTCCTTCATGTTGTTGCCAGGGAGCAAGGAAGCCTCCAATCCATATGACGCCGTCTAAGTCAAAGACAAATGCCTCAGCACCTGCAGGACACTGTAGCAGTCAGGCAAATGAATCTTGAAGATTTTGCTAAGCTTGTGAAGAGGATAGAAGAATATATATATACTATAGAAGAAGCAAGGTTCACAAATAGGTTCACTCGTTTTTGACAGGTGTGGTATGTGCACGGTGATGTGCACGGTGATGTGCTCTTATGTCTTCAGAATCGGATGTGCTCTTGTTCTGACCAAGTCGAGGAACTCTCGATCAATTTGTGAGCCAAACGGGAATCCAATTCTCGCCGCTTGGTCCAATGACCAGAGAATGCCAACGACCGATTGTGGTCCACTAGCTCCCGAAACCTTGAGTTCCTGGGTGCGTGATGTTGAACGGAAACCCAATGGCAGCATGGAGAAAAAGAACGAAGGCCACCAGGATGAGAAAGTTTTCTAAAAGCCTCCTCATGCCTTCGTTCCAGACATCTCCAGACTCCAACAACTACTCTTGTTTTGCCTCAAAGGGATTCTCTCAAACTGAAGGCAAACAAATCATTACAGGTCCTGAGACTATTTACACAAAGGCTGTCGCATGGCATACGCTATCAGCAACTCAGCATCAGACAGGGCAAGGCATGAGAGCACCACCAGGAGTTGCTTGACTCGTGCCATTTCAGTATCATTTGGTCATGTTTCCTAACTATGTAAGTGAGGCTTGGTCATTTGCAATCATGGCTGCAGAAGGCACGAAATAGATTGAAGATCCACTGAAAAATCCACTTCGAAGTTGCACAACTTCTGCTCCGACACCAAAAACACACAGCCACCGTGTGTAAGAGGCGTCCTTGACAATCTTCTCACATTCCTCCGACCGCTGAGACTTCTTCAGGACCTGCAAGTTCAGCTGTTCCTACTCCAAATATGTGGTGCTTCTATAATGCCTTTTACCAACAAAGATTCCCTTCATCCCTCTGATTGGAACATATTATTGAAACAGTGCCGAACTACCTCTTGGTGCACGAGAAAGCTGATACGCCGTCGCAGAGTCTTCCTGAACGTCAGCTCACTCAGGGCAGCAGTCTGAAAGCTACATGTGCATCGCCCGAGGAAGCCTCCCCGCAAACGAAAGGATTTGGTCTGTTTTCTCCCCTTGGCAATCCTCTCTCAATCCCTTTACAAAGTGACCTTTTGGTTAAAACAAACACCTTGAACAATTATAAGATATATAATATGGTTTTTCCGTGTGTGAGTGTGTTGGAGGAAGCCATCCGGGAGTTGTCTCGGTCCTGGATGCTAACGCTCCCACGGTGAGGCCCATTCTCTCCTCGAGCCTCGTGATAGGACGGGCCGTCTGAATGACGGACGGGCAAAGGCTCTGTGATGACAACAAGCAGCCTTGGGGAAAGAAGTAGAATGAATGTAGTAGAAAAGCTGTTGCAAATACATTATCTCCCTGTTCATATTGTAACTTGAGGCCAGAGGGGGTGAACGAAAGCTAGCCGGGCTTCCGGTGGTCTGCTGCTGGTGCTGCTGCTGCTGGTGCTGCTGCTGCCGCTGCTGCGCTGGGCGCTGCTGCGCTGGGTGCTCTGCAGGCGCCGGGTCGTCTGCTGCTGCTGCTGCTGCTGGCGCTGGGTGGTCTGCTGCGGCTGCTGCTGCCGCGGCGTTGGGTATGCTGCTGCTGCTGCTGCCGCCGCTGGGTGGTCTGCTGCTGCTGCTGCCGCTGCTGCGCTGGGCGCTGCAGATGCTTGGTGTGCTGCAGCTGCTTGGTGGTCCCGCTCACCGCGCGCAGGGGGGAGTCGAACCGCGGGGGGGGGGTCCATAAGATTGATTTAATCAATTATTTGAGGTTTCTGAGGTGCGTCCACCCCGTCACTTAACTTGCTAAAGCAAGAGCAACTCCAGCTAGCTAAGGCTAGCTTTCGTGATTATATGTTATTGTCATGAAAACATCATTGAACAGCCCCTGGATAATCAGAAAAGCTGAGATGGGAAGGCCTGCCCCGGAGCTCTCCGAAGGTGATGCAGCTCAGGTCAGCTCCCACTAGGAGAGCCTGAACCTTCAAGATCAAGTCAACTTGCATAGGAATGCTGGTGTGAAAGTGATCAAATCTATTCTAAAGGACAAAGGCACGTGTCCAATCAACTGAAACTCATCTTTCCCAGTCTACATCGATCTTTGCTCAGTCTGATCAGCCATGATCAGCCTCTGCCGCAAAGCAGGCATCTGAAATATCCACCGCCTTACCGACCAAAGTCCGATGATCACGTCTGACCGGATCGTCCGAAATGTGTCGCATGAAGGCACAGGGATGCACAGGGTCTGCACAGGACAGGGATGAGGCCTGCGCTTTGCTGGGACTTGCTGGCTTCTCGCCTTCCTCTGTCGAGATTGATGATATTATAATATTTGTACTTTTATGTATTTGTTTTAAATATATGATTCAATGAGGGCACTTCAATTCGCAACAAGACGTTTTATTCACTCGTAGACTCGTAGTTAATGTCCTCGATCTCTGGATCTGAGTGCTTCAAGAGCTTGCAAGGAGCCTCCAATTCAGAACTGGGAAATCCAACTGTATATTTGCCAGAATATGGTAGCATTGAGTTTCGCCCAACCCTCAGTTCACCGCATCTCTCAAAATGTGCCTCATCTTCGCATGGACCTGATGCCTTTGCCTTCTCAGGCATCACCTGCAATCGCAAAACGAACGCTCGAATCCCACACAAAAATGCCACTGAAATAGTGTCTTGTTGTGCCTCAGGCCAGGAGTAGAGGAACGTTCAATATGTGCCGCAGTGCCAACTAATTAGTGAATTACCTTGAGCCATTGCACAGCAAGCAGGAATTCGATGAAATTCGCTCACCTTCCATGTCACACTTGCTTCAAGTCGGGATCTTCCATCGCTGCAAATGTGTGTTTCAAACGAGTCAAAAGCAAAATTTAAAGGGCCTTTCAAAATGATCAAAGAAGTCTGATGAGTGCAACGTCTCATGCATGTAGAGTGCCTGCAAACATGTTTTCCCTTGCGGACAAGAACTGGAGATGAAGATCGAATCTCATTGAGATGCGTTGTGTCTAAGTCTACCTGTGCAGATTTCAGGGGCCTTGGCCTTTCTGCTGGCGTGTTCAGAAGAAAAACGTTTGAGTCAGGTGTCGGACTACAAAGGTGATGGTGCCTCACTCAGTGACTTCTCCTTGTATCTACCAGCTCCTGTGCCGCTTCATACTCTCAAGGAGTGAAGTGGCTTACTGCAGTGACAAAAATTATTTTACTTTGGGTGACCCCACCGTAACAATTCAATCATTCAATGCCACGGTTTAGGGAAGCATGTTGCCATGGTCGGGGGCTTTGTGGTTCTCGATTTTGCCTGTGTGTCCTCGGGCTTGGGGTGGTTGTTTTAGTGTTGGGGATGTCGCGTCGGGGTGTCGCCAGGGTCTACAGCTGGCATTCTATCCAAAGTGCGGCCCTGTGACCACTGCCACGCAAACTGCTACGCACAACAGTAAGCCTACGCAATTAAGTTAATCCCGAGTACATATTTAACAACGAACCCCCGCCTTTAACAAAAATCATGTTGGATACCCCTAAGTACGGCCTATATGCGTTTTAAAATACCGCCCCTTAAAGCTGCTGCTAAACTACCAACATGGCCGATTTTGGACGAGTCTTTTTATTAGGTTCCAAAAACAACCATAACTGCCTACCTCTGTCCACCCTGTCTATCCACCATGACACGCCGTGTTTACACCAGCAGGCTTTCCTTTCCCCAATGGCACTCACGCAAAACCGCATGGCACAGCAACATCACCGTTTGAAAGCTTTAGTTGTTAGTCTAATGAAGAATCACTATTCCAATAAAGGTTTTTGTAGGGAAAATGGAAAACCCTTCGATCTGGAGGTTTTTTGAATTCTTGATACGAGTTTAATAAAGGATTCTAAAAAGATAAAAAGTTCCGGAATGACCTTTTGGTCTTGAAGCTCTTCCCAGGTGACCTATTTTGGACAACCCCGATTTCAGGGACCCCCTATTTAAAAAACATGCGACCGAGGTGTCCTTATTAGGGGGCCCGTGTTTTTTAATAGGTGGATGGGATTATTGTGTTGAGTTGTGTTGTGTTGTGCATTGTGATGCATTGTGTGTTGTATTGTGTTTGTGTTGCGTGTTGTGTGTTGTGGTTGTGGAGGTGGTGTGGGTTGTGGATTGTGAGTTGTGGGTGGTGGGTCGTGTGTTGTGTGTTGTTGCTGTGGTTGTGATTGTGGTGGGATCCTCTTCTGACATCTTACAACCCTCACCTGACAGGTCGGGAAAAATCTCTTCCTTGGACTAAACATGTGTCTACCAGAACACGATAGAACACGATGGCAAACTGGCAAATCTCCGTTGTCTCCTGTAGCCAATGTCCCATCATGTCCCATCTTTCGCGAACCATGCCTACCATCAAGTGCTTCCGATTTTTTTCGCCAGGATTCAATCTGAATCCTGCCTTCGGTGATGCTGGTGGTGCCCATGGCTCATTTCATGAATCGCCTAAGAAAATTTAGCTCGTCTCTCGCATTAGCACACACTACAGAAATTGAACTATACAGAAACCTTATATTCACTGAGTCAATCAGTTTAGGCGGTCTTGGCATTTCACGAAACTACATGAAACTGAGGCTCGGTCAGATGACTCCCCATCGATCCTGCAAACCGCTCACCGAAAAGCGACGCAGTCACACAGGGCCACGGGATGCCATTCGGGGGCCTCATCTGCTCCCGTTCCAGTTCTTCACGTTCACGGAATCTCTCCAGTTCATCATCTTCATGCCTGGCACTGTTCATCGAAACCTACTGGAATGAGCTTGCTTTGGCCGTGGTCCATCATCTAGCATCCGCCCCATCAAATGCTAAAGGCCCATCTGCTTGCGCAAACATGTTCTTGATATATGATAGATTATAGTACACCGTTCTACAAGTAGGTGTTTGCCTGAAATTCAACCATGTCCTTCCCAAACGCCAAATAATGCCAAATATCATCAAATATCTCCAATGTGCCGTGGGAAGTCAACTTCGCAAAGAGCTGCAAGAGCTGCTTGCCTTCGGTGCCTTTCCAGCTCTTGGCGGAGCTCCTCCAACTGCTGGTCTTGTCGCAACTGGGCGCGTGAGCCAGGCCCACTTGTGGTGCAAAAGGGCGTCCAACGTCCGGTCCGAGTCCCTAAAGCAATTCCGACAGTGTGGGAGCCCTCCGATGTTCAACATGAACGATACTCCTGGCGTAGGACCTACAAAGTCAATCAATTCCGACGTTTGGAATTCACGAGTCCCAGTGTCGCATTGTGGGAACCCTTCCGGTCTCGGGGGAACCCCATATCATCCATATCGCTAAAAAAGCATCTCCGTTCGAAGAAGACGAGTAAGTGCTCTCCCTTCATATATTTCAGCGATGCATTATTTCAATCACGTATTTCTTGCGATCATCTGTAATATCTGAATGCGACCCAGCCCACCCAACTGGAAACCAAAATTCCTGATTTACCTCTCACACGGCCCAAGAACCTGCAGTTCCAGCATAGCTTCACGCTGTAGGCCATGCAGCCGGTGCAATCGTGCAATGCGATCTACCTTCCAGCCGCAAGCAGGGAAATGATTTCAGGTGTGGAGCGATCAAGCGGACCATTCAAACAATCCTTTCTCAAAAGGCTCGTGCAACTCATAAGAGATATCATTTCAACATATTACTACTCATTACTGATC